TTTTGAAAAGTTGAAAAGTATTGTGATTTTTGGAATGTTCTACAAGAGTTCTCAGGCTATCCTACTTGACTACATATAGCCCCTAGGGCACTGCACTAGACGATCACCGACCTACTGGTACTCAACCAACATACCATTTCTCCTATATCCTAACATACAAGGATACAGACTGTAATGCATAGTATAGTTGGAAAACTCAACTGAATCGAAGACCCAAGGAGACACAGCAACACTCTCGTCGCTCATGTGAACCGACTAGCACCAAACCAAGGTGGAACCTTAATCAATAACCCAATTCCTTCAAGTTTAAACCAAAGTTAAACTGGTCAAAAAATCAACGGTCAACAAGAGTCAACGATCAACCCTCACAATGACGTGAAGGACTATTAGACACATCGTTGGAACATCTAGACAAAACAGTCACTAGAACCTCAATTGTCACGACGTGACAGACACATCGTCACGTCGTGGGAACTGATCCTGGACAGCTTGATGGATTAATCCCTTAATCCATTAATCCCAACACTCATCTCCTCCAGAAGGCTTCCTTACACCCAAAGAGTCATAAAAATCGTTGCTTTATAGTTATGCATGTTCAATGCATATCTTTCCACAAGCTAAGTCATAACAATGGTGTAAATGAGGTCAAGAATCTCATGAATGAGCCAAAACCTAACCAAATCTCAGATCTAGAACACTAAACCTCAAAGGGACCTCAACGATCCATATAAAGGCCAACTTTATGGAATCCACAGGGGCGGACGTAAAACTATGTAGTAGTAGGTGCACAAAAAAAATTTCAATCAAATATAATAACATAAAAAAATTAAGAGTGAATTAAATATAACAAACTAGTGTAGACAAACTTCATTAAAGGCAAATTGGTCATTTCATGGGCATATTCTTGGTCTCGTCAGAGTTTGTTTCTGTGTTGTTGTGGTTGTATAAAGTTTTGAAGGCATGATTACCAAAATTTCATTCCCATGGTGGTAAGAAAATTTTCAATCATTTTTAATAATTGAAATAAAATGTTATCTAATCTCCATAAAATGAGTGAATAATCCACCGAATGCGTGTAATGTGCATTTTGGTCGCTAGAGATTTTTGGGGGCCTAGTAACAAAAGGTAAATTAAAAGGAAAAGTAAGGTAAAATAAAAAAAGAAAATTTTTAAGAGCAGGAGTTAAACTCGAGACCCTTTACAAACGAGAAACTTAAGATGCATCTCAGACCAACTCAACTGCCAAACCTTTCGTTGAAATTTTGAATTATAATAATAATATAGTTGTTTTCTAGGTGCACACTAATAAAAAAACAATTTTTTTTACACTAATACGGAAAAATCTAGTAGTTGCACGTGCAACCCCGTGCACCACTACAAATCCGCCCATGGGAATCCAAACACTCAAACTCCCCCGGACATGGAGAAAATGCACAAAAAACATATATATTGAAGCATAGAACATAAAGCTTGGACCTTGAAAATTCATAATGGTCCACGCTAGAAGATGATGATGAGACTTGCAAGTTGAATCTATGCACCAAGGATGCTTCCTTCTCACTCAATACACCAAAAAATGCCACCAAAAGCTAAACAACTCAACAATGGAGGCTAGGGTTTCGATGAAAGGATTGGAGGCTAAAGAGGATGCCCTAAACCTTGAGTTTAGGGGCTTCAATATAGAGGAAACCCTAAAAGATCATGGGCTTGGGCTACAGCTGTGGTCACGTCATGACCTTCCTTTCGTCATGTCGTGAAGACCATCTCGGATACGTGTTCATCCAATTGGCATGTCACATCGTGGTGCTCTATTCACCACGTCGTGACACAAGGTTTTTCCCAAAAACCTTACATTTGATCCTTCTAAACCCTCAACCAATCTATTCTGGAAAATGGGTGTTACAAATAATCTCATTGTTTTGTGGTTTGACTCCCTATCATGCTCCATCTCACCTCGTTTTAACCCATGTCCAACCAAATGTCCACATTGGAGGTGAAATATGGCGATATTGTTGGAAGTTATACATTGTTACAACAACCTCCATATAATGTAAGGGTGTTATTGGTAATTAAATGATTATCAGTTATGGGGTTTAAAAAGAGAAAGAAGTTGTTTTTTATTCTTATAATATAGTCATCAGGTGTCCAACTTATGATATCCAACTTGATTGTGATGTTTCCATTTGGGTCAAGTGCATCATAGGCTTCTGAAAATTAATAAGAAAAAAGAAGGGTCATGAAAAATTATGTAATTGAGTTAACTTTTTATCTTGAATAACACAACCTCGCTTGGAATTTTTTTATTATTCAGTGATTATAATATGATCAAACATTCAATTAAGATTTACAGATCTTTGTGTAGAAACGTATTTGCATCGAATGGATTCATTAATGGAAATTAGATCTTTAACCATTTTCATCTCCGATGTATCTATTTGTTACACTAGATTGATCGATCCTTGAAATCTCACAAATCCTCTTTCAGTTAAGGTATTGAACTACAAATCTCGACCAATAAAGATTGAATCTTTCAAATTTTTCAAAAGGAGAAACTAATCTGATAAAGGATACACATTGTGAAATCTCTCACACTTATTAGTCAATCGAGCAAGTAAAGTACTAGTTTTGATTAATAATGGGCAAACCTATCGAATTAAGCATCACCCAGAAACCAAATTGATTAAAAATGCCAATTGGAAACTTCAAGAACTTGAATATAAAAAGAAGATGTATACATGTGCAAGGAAACTGAACAAAGAAAGCAAGATGGCGATAATAATGGTGAAAATTGATACTCTGGTGAGAGATCTAAATGAGTAATCCTTTACTGTTTTCCAAGATTTACTAGCTCCGTTTGCGTTTCCAAATAGTTTTCTTGAGTGGGTGAGTTTGTATAAGAGAGAAAGAGAGAGTAGAGCTGGTAATCTCTCACAAATTAGTGGCGATTCGTTGTAAAAGATGATTTTACCCTCACATGGTTTGCACATGTTGTGATTTAACGGACCAAAAGTGGCGGATCTAGCCATAAGGACGATCCATTAAAAGTTTTCAAACAACATGGACCATCTTTGATGATAAAAAAAAATTTTAAGGACCAAACTTGATTTTTTTAGAAACCATAGGGACCATTTATGAAAATTACCCTTTTTTATAATTTTATTTAATAAAGTTATTTAGTTTTATCAACTTTTGAATATATATATATATATATATATATATATATATATATATATATATATATATATATATATATATATATATATATAAAATTTTGAAAACAAAATTAAGAATGTTTGGTGGTTAATCCCTATTCTAATAAAAGAATAGTTTTATTCTCCTTTTGACATGTGCCATCTTATTAGACCTCCTAATTAATGCATATTTTATTCTTCTTTTACCATTTGTCACCCTATTATATCTCCTAATTAATATTTGTCATTTGTCAACCTATTGATTTTTCATTTCAAATTTTAAATTTTAAATTTCTCAGTATATCCACATTAAATTAATAACATTAAAATTAAAATTAAAATAAAATTAATACAAATTATAAAATGATATAATTTCACATATTTATTTAAATCAATGATTATAATTTCATATAACTAAAAAAATCTCTTAATTAATAATTTATTTAAAAATAATTGATTAATAAATTTGAGTTTTTACTATAAAAGTTTAATTAATTTTTGTAACCGTGGTTCCTACAGATTATAAACTAGTAATAATATAATTAAATGCTTACGATCACTTTAGCATTTTTTAACATACGACCTTCTAAAATAATTAAGCATATAAAAATAAATCTCTAAAATTATATCACATAAAAATTAAAAGTAGATAAATGATGTGTTTATATTTCAAATATTTAATTATTATTGTAGTTTAAATATTAAATAAAATATACATGTATGTCGATTAAAATTAGTAATATTTGTTCTTTGTATTTATACGAATATTACATTTTTTATTTTTTATTTGATTTATAATAATTAAGAAAAAATTTAATAGTTTTTTTTTTTAATTTCACAAATGATCCTTATACGAAGTTTCAAATTTTTTTTTTTACTAATGATCATTATGGAGACTTAACGTCTGTCTCTAACTAGGGATGTAAACTGGCTCGAATCAGACCAAATCCAAAAAGAACTTGAACCAATTAAGGAGTGAACGGGAGATGTTTGATACCGGAATCGAACCAAACTGGATAGAGACTGAAACCAAAATTAATGAATTAGATGAACCGGAACGAATACTATTAATCGGTTCCAACCGGTTTCGGTTTCAATTAGACCTTTCAGTTAAAAATCTATTTCTAACAGACATTATATATATGGACCATTAACATGTCAACTTTTGTCGAAAGAGACAATTCATGCAAAACAAAAATTTATAAGACTCTTTAGGAGGCAATTTTAAAATCATAAGGACAATTTGTGAAACTTTATCAACAATTTAATTAAACAGGTTCGCTTCGGTTGAAATTATCAATCAATTTATAAAATTGGTTGAACGAAACCAACCGAAATCAACCTCTAGTTGTTAATACGTAACGCCAAACCAAGATTTTAAGTAATTAATATGTTTTCATCAAATTCAAAATTCCTTTGATCATGTTTCAATTTGTCATCAAAATTTTAAAATTTTAATATAGAAAGTTGATATGAAAATTAAGAAGAAATCATTTATATTATATAAATTAATAAGAACAAATAACTTCTCGTGGTAAATATATCACCAACCCTTTTTAATCATAGAACATAACCTCTTTAACATACATCCAAAATAAATATTTTATTATATAATTTGAAGTGTATATCGTATATTTCTATAACAACGTAAAAAAAATATATTTCTAGGTATTTGTAAAAAGAGAAAACCCCAGTTTTCATTGAGAGAAGAGAGCAAAAAACCACATGAAAGAAAGTTGATGATCTGAAATCCCAAGACTTAAGTACTTAACATTGATTGAAATCTAAACAAGTAATCCAACCCAAATCTCAAACTCTGATTAGATAAATACTAAGTTCTGGTCCTCCATTGCTGTCTGGATTCATCATGTAAAAAGCTTCAGAATCTTTCGACCCCACAATCCTCTCAAACCTTGCTCTCATGTACATCAATTCCCCTTCACCACCACTACCGCCGCCTCCCTCCGGCAGTACTCCGGCGCCCATCGTAATCGGTCCCACAGAATTAAAAACCTTCCATTCATCAGGTCCACAATCACGTCTCATAGCATAACCACATTTCTTGCCATTGCAGTATGTCCTCCACAGTGGCTCTTCTAGCAGCTTAAAACTCTTCTTCAGAGTCTTCTTATCGCACTCCAACGCAATACGAACCAACCCCGACGCCATTTCTCGAACCAGGAAGCTAGTTGGGGTGGCTAGCTCGACCAGGAAAGCCGGGCCTAGCTTCGGATCCTCTTGAAACGCAATGTGGACGTGACCACGTCTGTACCCAAATAGAGTCCCGACAACTCTAGTACCCTTGCCTAGACCAGAACCAGAAGATAACTTGGTTTTACCAAAAGTAAGAGCTGATCGGAGCTTAGCAACAGACATGAGTCCACGTTTCTTCCTCCGGGGTGCAGCCTGGGGTACAGGGAGGCTGAGGTCGTCGTCAAGATTCAGATCCTCCTCAGTCACGACACATCCAAGTGATGATGATCTGAAGTTGAGGGTTGCTCCTTCATCGTCATCGTCTTCCACTTTCTTTTTCCAGTGGAAGTATCTTCGTGAGAAGGAAAAGGAAGTATCTTGAGGTGTTTTTGCAGCCATGATTGACCTCATCTTAAGAAACAAAAGCTAAACAACAAATGGGGTATCGATGAAAAGATTAAAGCTTGGAAGGCTGTGAAAAAAGCTTGTGGTTTTTTCTCTTCTTTAAGGGGTTTTTGGGAAAGGAGTATGTGATTCAAAAGGGTGAAAATACTGACAAAAGAAGGTGACCAGTCCCCACCTACTATTGTAATACTTGATTGTACAAATTGATACAAAATAATATATCGAGTAAATTACTGTTTTGGTACCTATCGTTTATACTTATGTTTAGTCTTAGTCTAACCTTTATCTTTTACATGCATTGTCGCTTTGGTCTAAAAACTTACACTTGTGGTCCTTCAAACTATTACCGTCTAATATGCTGTGTTAAATGTTAGATAAAATGACCATTATACCATTTTTTACTTTATCTATTTTATTGACATTTTTAAACAATACATAGAATATTTTTGTAAAAGCTTAAAGAAAACCCCTAAAAGGCTATTAGCCCCATCTAGAACATTTTTTCATTTCCCTATCCATAATTTCGTTGTCGACATCTTTGACACCAGTGCTCTCTTTCTTTGTCTCTTTTGCCTCTTATAGCTTCGACTATCATTAACTCCAATGCCCCCCTCGAACCTACACCTCTCTCTTTCTTGCTTGCAACTTTGGCAACAACCACCTCATTCGCCTCTAAGCTCTCTCGTCCAGCCACGTTGCATATGCATTTTCCTCTTTTTTCCTCGCCGCACTAGCCTCGTCGTACTTAACTCTCATCCTTCTCCCCCTCTCTACTTTTTGCTTCCCCCACCCTCTCAATGGTTCACACCTCCTCTTTCACCTTACCTACTCAACCCTATCGACGACGTCCATCTCAACCCTTCTATATATTTCCTCCCTCGAGTGTTCTCCAACCCGACCCCATTCTCTCCCTCCTTATAGATTGGGGATGAATTTGAAGATGAGATGCGACTAGTAGACAAGGATGAAACAAACAAGATAATAAAGTAGAATGGAAGAATTAGTGATTGTGTGTTTCTTGTGTGTCTTGGTTTGTGATTTGGATAAATCCCTGCCTCCCTACCATTTCTTTGGATGAATGACATTAATCTTTTGGAGCTAAATTAATCTTGAAAACAGAAAACTACTATATAGAAAAAAAATCAGTTAGCATGTGATAAAGAATTTGTGATTGTATGTGTTTTGAAGGTGATGAATAGGTGATTGTATGCTTTGTAGATGGCATAATTGATGATTGTGTGTATCTTATAGGTGATAAATAAGAATGCTTTGTAATGTGGAAAATAGGATGGCGGGAACTAGAAGGATGCGTTGTAGCGATTGGAGGTGGTTTGGTGATGTGGTGGTGGTGATGATGATGATGACGGTGGTGGGATGATTGGTGGGGATACAGTTGGCCAGCGATCGGTGATGATGGTGGGTGGTGATTGGTGATTGGTGATTGGTTTGAACACAACTTTGTCTCCGACAAAAGTGGAATAGCGATGATGGTAGGTTTTCATAACCAATAACTAAGAGGGGGGGGGGGGGGGGGGGGGGGGGGGGGGGATTATGGGTCTTGACTATTTTATAATAATAAACACATAAACATGATAATAAAAGAATAAAATATGAAACAACCAAGTTGTTAGATTTAACGTCCCAAGGACCATTGGTTCAACTTCCAAAAATCACGGAGATGAGCCATGTTAAAAATTCAAAAGTTAGTCTACAAATGCAGATAGGTGTAAAATATAAGGACCAAAAGTTTAATTTACTCTAACAGATATAGAGGGAGAAAATCTATGGAGACAAAGTTTTGTGATCCATCTTTTCCTTTGGAGAGAGAAAGAGATGAAAGGAATGCTTGACTGACTACTTGCTGACTTGCATTGGAAAAAGTTTACACGAGCAGGTAACGCCAACACCAAACAATACCGGCCACCAAGACCACTTCCCAGTTCTCACAGGCCACACCAACATATTTGTTTGTTTGTTTTTTTTTTTCCCCATTTCATGCACGCTAACAGCCAAAGTATGTTGCTCCATTTAGGGTTTTTCTCTGAAAGGATGTTCCTCGTTTTTGCATACAATCATCTTATTTTTTATATTCAGTAGTTATACTTTACAAAAGAGGTTGGCTAAAAATAATGTTTTGGAAACACAAAAACTGACGAATATATTTGATATATAACAAATTAAATAAGAAATTAAAACGTTACAAATAATAATAATAATAATAATAATAATAATAATAATAATAATAATAATAATAATTAACGAATTTGAGAATGGGTTGTATTTCTCGTAACTCCATGTAATGGGAATAAGATGATTTTATATTCCACATCGGTATTTGTGTTTGTGCAAGGACATCTCATCTTAAAGTGTGATGATTATGAGTGTATAATTAAACATTATAAACGCAAAGGAGAACAAGAAATGTCAAAGTTTTGCAGAAAAGAAGAGAGTAAAATGTCAAAAAGTTTGTGTATAATCATGATTAATAACTTAGAGCCAACAAATTTTGGCCACAAAAAGGGTGTTCTCTTTTTTCCATGGTTGAAATTTTAAAGTTGTATAAATTCTGGCATTCTATTGTTTAATTGTATTATAGCATATACTTTAGACTAAAGTATAGAAATGATTGATGTGGTTCGGTGAAATCTATAGTTTGAGTTCCGGTTTCAAAAAGGTTATAAAAAATTTATATAGAATTTTTTTTTTTAATTTGGCTTTTTGCCTAGTGGTATGAATAGTTGTTAATAAGTAGGGTTGTAAATGAAATGAACGTTCGGCGAACCGTTCGTGAACTGTTCGGCGGGAAGTTCGTTTATTTAATAAATGAACGAACATGAACACAAATTCTCGTTCGTTTATTAAACGAACGAACATGCACAATGATCTTGTTCGTTCATTTACATTCGTGAACGTTCGTTCGTTTAAGTTTTTTTATGTTCATATATTTTCAATTGTTTTTATAACATTACTATATTATAGTTCGTTTATGTTTATATATGTTCAATTGTGTTTGTTTATCTTTGTTCGCTTATGTTCGTTCGTTTATGTTCGTTTAGCATGTTCACGAACATAAACGAACGAACATGAACAAGACAATTTGTTAAACGAACGAACATGAACAAGAAAACTCCATTCGTTTATCCGTTCGTGTTGGTTCGATTGTTCGGCTAACTTAAACGAACGAAGAACAAGCCTTTGTTTGTGTTCGTTCGGTTCGTTTACAACCCTATTAATAAGTATTTGAACCAAATGCTAAACGTTCAAGCCTCACTATAAACCAAATATATAAAATTAAACGTAGAATAGTTAGTGGCGAGTCTAAAATAGAAAATCATATGGTTCACTAATTTTTCTATATATATTTTTCTATACAAATTCGAAGATTTTTATAGGTAAGGTAGGTCTTAAATTTTTTTAAGGTAGGTCCCTAAAATTTTTTTATAGAAAATTTAGATAAATTAAAAAAAAAATTAGATGGGTCCTACGACTCACCTTCCTTATACCTAGCCTCGCCACTGAGAATAGTGGATGACTACATGTAGAAGTCATTTAAAAAAAATTAATTTTATCTTATTTTTATGTGACCTAGAGTCCCTTATATAAATATTATATATTTAGTATATTATTTAAAACAATCGATACAACACAAAACCCTATCATATATTTTCACAATTAATCATGTTATCCAAGCAATATTCGCCAGAGCTTGACGTCGTGTTTGCCATTGTCTTTAGCATTTTTTTGTGGAAGGTTTTATTATCCAACTTGTTGTCACAACTAGCATTTTAACTAGGAAATTCTAGTCTCATGTAAACACCATCCACTGTGATACTTGTAACCCTAATTTGATATTATACGCTATGCTCATTCAATGACAACAAACTTAATCAATGTTCACAAGTAAAGTTCAAAACTTTATACAAAGCATCTCATATAGTCAACCAAGGGTTGAAAACCCTAAAAATCCCGGTTCAAGTTTGATATGAACTAGGATTCTCTGATTGGGCTTAATGAATCAATAAACCTTCTACTTGACTATCTTGGGCCTAGGAACCCTAATTGGGCTCTAATTGGACCCACATTCATAAGATTTTAGCACTTTGGGCCATGTGAGCCAAGAATAATGCATCTTATCTATAATGGGCTTTGTTGGGCCATAAATGATTTCATTTGCCATATTGGGCCGTAAACCCTTCTAAGTGGGTTTCATTGGGCCGAGAACCTTCATAAAGGCCCAATGGGCCGAAAAATATTACTAAGCTTCATAAAAATCGAACAAAACCAAGAATGGGCCCAAACCATTTCATTTCCATTTCTTCTTAGCCCATTCTCGACCCAACCTTGTAAATAAAAAAAAGAAAACAAATGGGAGGATATTTGAGGTGCCACCTCATCATTACCTAGTGGTTTTCTATGCTAATCACCCTTCAAATAAACAACTAGTCGCATGTCTCTAAGCACCTATCACATCTCAATCTCTCATCTCTTTTCCCTCTCTTCTTATTACACTCGGCCGAATACACCCTCCCACCACCTTCCATTTCCTTTCAAACACTTTCAAGACTCTCTCAAGAACTCCTCTCTACTCCTCAAAATTTTGTGACCATTGGTGGGTGATTTTAAGAAGTTTGCATCAAGTCCTCATCCACAATTGGTAACCTACTCTTACTCAAGCAAGTTTAACTTCATAATTTTGTTAAAACTTATTACTCATTTGCTCCAAACCGTGAATCATACTTCACTAGAACCATCTAAGTTTAAAAATCATCTCAAGGAGCTTGCTAGGGCCGAGAATCACATCATCTGCTTCTATCTCTTCATCAAACCGAGAACAACAAAGCAATATGAGTTCATACCCCTTGTTTTCGGTTTTAAACATGTTTTGGGGGAGAATACAAGTTTCATATGTGGTAGATCTATGTATTTATGCATGTTATGTGTGTTTTACTTGATTTAAGTTGTGATTATGTGATGAAACACTATAGATCTTGAAA